AGCAAATATTTATTGAGTAGTTACTAGGTGCTAGGCATTCTATAGGTGCCAGAGATGTGGCAGTGAGCAAAACCAACAAAAACTCCTATCTCATGAGCTCATAATCTAATGGGGGCGAGAATATGCCAGGCAGTGTGCAAAGGACTGAAAACAAAGAGATGACTCAAATACTCTTTGCTGTCAAGAAACACAGTCTAGCAATAGCGTAATACATTTTAATGTTATTGATATTTTCAGTAGTGGTCACCTTTGCATGGAAACTTTCTCCATTTAAAAAAAAATGATTTTTTTAAAAAGTGATTTTAAGTGGTTTATTATATTCATGAATGTGAGTTTCATACACTCAGGTGTCAAATATTTCCCCCCTCACAAGAAACGTGTCCTATTTTAAAACATGAGACAAAGAGGAAATAATAATCACTTCACATAAATGTTTTTTTCTGAAAATTTTATCAGAAATAGCAGTTTTTGAATGGTAGGTATCATTGGGGAGATACTTCAGATTTGGGCTTGCACTTAGCTGGAACTTTCTGGGGAAAGTATAGATAAAGTGAAGGAATGAGTGTGATGGTCTAGAGAAATTGTTTGAACTGAATCTCCGAAGCTCGAAGAGTCTCTTCTCACCCTTCCATAGTAGTAACAGGAAGAGAATGAAACTATGGTATGATTTACCTTAATTAGCATAGCAATTTACCTCACATTTTCAAAAAGTGCTAATAGATGTTAACTCAAAATAGATTAAAATACCAGACAAATTGCTACTACCTTGAAAAGAGTTATAATAATTTTGAAAATGTAAATTATGGTTATGCAGTCTTTGGAGAGAACTATAAAATCCAATCTTTCTTATATTTAAAAAATAACCTGTGGTACACACTTTTTTTTCCTTTAATCACAGTAATTTCTTCAAATGACACCACTGCATATTTCTTTAGGAAGATAGGCTGCATTTTTCAAATCTCAAGTGTAATATAGGAGTTGCCATTGATGGTTTTCAGCAAGAGGAAAAGAAATTGAATACAGAAAACCAGGGATCATGGAGAAATGTAAAAAAATTAATCTATGTTCCCTTTTTATATTACACACATTTTATGAGTTGGAACAGAGAATTGTTCCTTTCATTCTAGCAAGTGGAGTTGTGCATGACAAAATGTCTGCAGAAATGTGTATGTAGGCGTAACAATTTAAAATGCTTTGGACCCTCCTGGTGTCTAACGCTGAACTTTTTCTCTAAGGCACCAAAGTGCTTATGGATTCTATACAAAGAGGTGAGCATAATTTGTACTTCTGAGGAGTAAATGAAAATAACTTTAGTATAAAATTTGTCACACTGTATCGCCAGGAGACACTATAAGTAAAAGATAGAAACTTCCCTAGTGGGAACACATGTATTTCCCCTGAATAGCTTCTACCCAACAAAGCTCTAAAATGGAATATTTGCATTTTCCCCTTTGCTTTGTTTTCTAGAATTTACAAAGCACAGTTAGCAAAAAGATTACTTAGAAGACATATTATATCCACAGAGGATTGCTGGTTTAATTCAACTATACAAAACCAAGTTACTGTCTATTCTTGCCCATAACCTTTGAAAGCCAGAGACCTAACATACTCTGTATTCTCAGCTATGGGTATACCTTACTTTAGGCAACTGAAATAGGTAAATTGAATTTTGGTAAATCAAAGTATATATACAATATTGGCAGAGAAAATCAGTTAACCTGACCGTGGATGCCTTTACCAAAGTGAATAATTATCCCCTAATTTATATACTTCATAAATTTATGTTTATATATCAGGTTTGCTTAAGGTAAATTGTTTGCTTAAGGTAAATTGTATCTCTCTTTGCACAAAACAGTTACCACATAGAGATATTTTTTTTTTCTGTGTTTAAAAATTGGACCTCCAAAACAGATTGCCTGTCAATCCCTAGGTATCGGACTTTGTGCAAGCCCACATGTAGATCAGAAAAGAGGCAGCACAGAAGACAGCACCCATCTTTACAGTGGGTTTAAATGTTTTCTCTTCTCGGTTTTCTGTTATCTGTTTTCCTGGTCATTGTTCCTTGAATACTGAGTGGTCTGGACTTTCTCCCCTTGCCATGCATCCTGTCTGACCAAATGACTTCAGTTCTTTCTTAATGAGACCTGCATCCTTATGGGTTTGTTTATGACAGAAGGGAGGAAGGTAACCTAACAGCAAAGTGGGGAACATCAGGTAAAGAAAAGGGAGGATTTTCTGAAAGTAGATATTTAAAACCTGCACTGTTCCATTAAGGAAAGTTCTGGAATCACCTCCAGAGACCAATAAGGTAGAATAGACTCTTCCCTGTGTATGATGTATGTTTTAAAGCTTACTTCTCACCCTGTGATTATTTTATTTTGAACACTACAACTAATGATACCAAGGTTCACTTCTGAAATATCTCAGAAATTGAACAATACGGAGCATCACGACAGAGAATCGGTCACCCTAGCGTATCGTTAATTAACTCATGCACCTAATAACCATTTACCAAGTGCCTGCTCTAATAATAAGAGCTACCATTTGGGGACCTTTTTAAGTCAGTCACAGTGTTAAGCATATCATTATACTTAAGCCTTACAACAATCCTGTTACTTTTAAGTAGTTTTATCCTGTGTGTATAGTTGAGGAAACTAAATCTTAAAGAAGTAAAGTGAAACGAGGGTTCAAACCTGTTTCTGGTTGACTCTCAAGTCCATGGTATGAACCACAGTTGCCATTTTTCTTCTCTACGTTGCACACAGCTTGACAGCCTTAAAGGTAAGAGACAGTCTCTGGTCCCCAGAGGCTCTTCTTATGCAGGTGGAAGCCATAGGCAAGTGAAGAGATGATTACACAGTGAGAGTGCTTAAATAAAAGAAAGAACCATGCAGGGTGCCCACCACAGGTGCACAGAGAAGGGGGTACCTAACCCTACCTTTCTGGGAGATAGGCTTGCTTCGGGAAGGCTTCTTGAAGGAGGGAATTCCTGAGCCAAATAAGAGTTCCTCAGGGAATTGGTCTTTGTGTGATTAGTATTTAATGTCTGGTTTTGCCTTGCTCTTGAGTTTCCATTTCTTACTTGCCTTTTGGTATTTTTTTTTTTTTTTATCATTCTTTCACTAATAACTAGGCCTGACTTGTGGGTACAAAAATGATCATGGCTCTTGTGGATTGTGCATTGGGGCAGGAGAAACAGATATTAAATTAAGTAATTATAAACTAACTTTATAAGTGTTATGAAGACAAAGTGGGCAATGTTAGAAGAGTAAATAACCTAAAAGCCTTACCTAATTTGGGGTGGGGGGGAGCAGGGATAGGGCAGTGAAATGACATTGGGGAAATGACACTGAAGCTAAGAACTGAAGAGTAAGTAGGAAGTAGGCATGAAGAGAGGGCTTTTAGAGGGAAGTGGGTTAAAAAGTATTCCAGGTAAAGAGAATAACATGTGCAAAGACCCTGAGGCCAGAAAGAACTTGGACAGTTTGATCATTTGGGATTAAGTCAGGTGACTGGAGTATCAAAAATACGCTACCGAGATACATAGAGCCAGATGGCGCATGGCCTTCTTAAGTGTACTGTCTTAGGCTGCCTCAACCCAAGCAAAACTTAGATCATAAATTTAAATTAAAAAATTAAAAATGTTGCATAAGATCCTCTTAAGGCCATCAATTCCTATTCTCAACTCTAATTTGTATATCAGTTTTTCTTTTTTACTTTAAATGATTTTCTTCTTGTTTTTGAAAACAATGTTATACATCATAACTATCACAAAAAGAATTAACTACATGGTTTGGTTGAATTTGGAGTGAAAGTTGATTTAATACAAGCAAGTCTTGAATAGAGAGGTGTTCTGACAGATTAAGTATCATCAGTGCAATGTTGAAATATCAATTCTCAATTAAAAAAAAAAGATTATATATAACAATTTTCCAAATCACCCAGAAAACACCATGTTATCTCAGAAAAGTGTAGACGACTGAATGTCATGGTCGTCATACTTCTAAGCAGGCTTTCAAAGCAAAAAGCAAGGGTTTGATGTTGTTTTAGGCATTTCTCGGTGGTCCTGATCTTTTTCAAGAATGGACAGACATGGAGAGGGAGCACAAAATTATGTATCATAAGCACCTTCTTTCAGACCAGCTTACTCAGTATAAATGAAATATTGATGCATTTGAAAATGCCCAATAAAGATTTTAAATAAAGCTACCTAAAAGTTGTGGTTCTTAGGTTAATCATTTATTTATCTAAAGGATGAAGGAAGCTGTCTACTTCTGTGATATGAACTGCAATCAGCTTAAAAATAATTGACAAATTAATCCCTTCACAGCACAGCAATTGTAAAGGTGTTAGTTTTAATTAGGCCTGTCTGATTGCCTTGTCTAATCAAGAATCAAGGTGGTATCTTTGATGGTTAAGGTCTATTGGGGCCATCCCTGACCTGCCAGCCATGTATGTTTTAATTATTGATTCCTCACATTTCAGCCCTTTTCACAAAGGGACTTGAAGTTTGCAATGCCTTAACATTTAAAGGGAAGAAAAATAAACATTTCCCCAACACTTCCATCTAGATTCCTGTGGATCCTCTCTACCACTCTACAGTTTTGTCCTAAAAAAGCTGTCAGGTTGATGATGTAGCTAAATTCACATTAGAATGCTATCTCCCTGCTGCCTCTCCTCCCAGGCACTAGCTTTTCAGTGGGCATTGTTAAGATCTCAACAAGTCGCTATCATTTATGCTTCTAGAAAACACATTTGATTTCTTGATATCCTATGTCTTCTTTAAAAAATCCCTGAGGGTGAATGTAGTACTCAGGAAATCGGGAAGGTCAGGCAAAAAGGGACACATACCTTCTCACAGAACACTGGCTCACATTGCTGATGGGGAATGAGGTGAGAGTTCCTGTTACCACCATTAGCACGTCAGTCAGAGGACACGGGCAGTGGGCGGTCTCAGCCGTCCCGTCCTGTGCTTGACGATGGCTCTTCTTTGGTTGCAGGTCAATGAAGTGACAGTGGAGCAGCTGGTGCAGCAGTACCCCCACATCACCTTCAGCACCGTGCTGCAGGACTGCAAGAGGACCTTGGAGAGAGCCTATCAGATGGGCTGGACCCCCAACATGTCTGCTGCCTCCTCCTAACACTCCTGCTCCGCGTAGGTCCACTCGGATCAGTCAGCAGGGCGGAGAGGAGCAGGAGATTTGGGGCAGGCGATTCCTTGGAAGGGTTTTAACTGTTCCACGTGTACGGGTGTACCCGAGTGTGTATATTTGTGTCTTGTTTGCATACTGCATAGCGTAAGCGCAATTGCTATTTGTTCCCAGGTGAGCTGGGGTTCTTTTTTTTTCCTTAAAAATTAAAGATTTAAAAAGCCACACACACCTTTTAGTTTTTAAGTTCAAAGACTTGTTTCTCTAAAAATTTTTTCTTCCTATAGAACCAAAAAAACATCGGTCTATTATTTTGAGCTTCTAACTACTGCCTCTTGAAGATGCCCCAAAATAAATGCAACTGTCTTGTCTTTTGATGGGATAGAATCGTGCACTTCTGATGATCACCAGACCAGAAGTGATGTTGCACTAATTGGAAACCAGGAAACCAGTACCCTGCAAAATTTCAAGCACGTACACACATATACGTTCTTACACTCCTTCATAAACATGCACACGTGCGTGCGTACACAATTCCAGGGCAGTTTCTTTCTAGACCATTTCTGACACAGGGGCGTTCCTCCAGGTCACTGAGGAAACATGTCATCCACTGTGGCTCTGCCTAACTCACTGTATCCACAGATGGTCAACTTGCTATCTGGAGATGAATTAAGCCTTCGGTGAAGTTTTTATATGGAGGCAACGATCTGAACTCCCCTGGCCAGCTCACAAAAGTTAATTATTCATTATTTTGCAAATGTGTTCTGTTGAGTCCTGAATATTTCAGTGAAGTTTTGTGTTAACGTTGTGTTAGCTTTTATTTCATGGATAGTAACTGGTCGAGATATATTTTAATGATATTTGGAGCTAACCTTAGCATTCTCCACATTAAAGGCACCAATGTAATTAATAGTGTGCAGTTATTTAAAAAACAACCCTACCGATCATTTAATTATTTTTTTGTTAATTTTGGTAATTATGAACATGTATTTCTGAAATTTGGAGGTAGTCACATGAATAGAAAATTAATGAGTGAGATATAAGTAGACAATCTTCCTATTACTTTCTTTTTTTCTTTTCTCTCTTTTTTTTGCTTTGCTTTGAGCTTTAGAACAGGTTTTATGGATATATGCATGTTATTTTTGAATAGTTCTTGTGCTACTGCAAAGATCTATTGCTGGTTAATGTATAAGTTAAGAGGAAAAAATTAGAAAGTCTTTTCATTAAGATTTTGTTTACACTTGTCAGAAATAAGCATTTCTTTGTTTAAAGATTGCCAGCTTTCAGTTAAGACAATATGGATAAGTAAATGAATATGTGTTTTGATTTCACACATCTTTACAATTAATTCATAGTAGGGACTCAGGCTCAAGTAAACTTGCCTGTGTCTAGATTTATAATCAAGACCACAGGGAGCCTTTTTAAGCTAAAGAGTGATTATCTTTCACAGTAGAGCTAGATACAAAACCCTGACTTGTGAGTTTGCTATTTATTCTCCCCCAATGTGGACATAACTGGGTTTTTTTGGTCTTTAACAGATATACTAAGGTTTGAGTTTCACTTTCTGTAAGCCCCAATATGGCTAAAATGATACTAGCTGTAAGAAACAAAATATAGCTTTACATTCAAATACTATTCACTTATTTATAAAGACTCCTTTTTTGTAAACACTGTTTCCTTTGATTACGTCAACATGTTTCTGATGTGGCATTGTTTTGCTTTTAATCCCAATCAGTTAAGAAAATCTACTTAGTAAGCACCAAGGGTATTTTTTCCATCACTAGATAGATTACTAATTTAATTTGAAAGGAATACAATTTGTGTAAGATTAAAAACTGTTTATTATTAATAAAAGAGTTCGTCTTGCACATCAAATAGTATTGTTTTCATATTCATTTCCCCACCACTGAAAAATATTTTAATTCACAATATTTTAACTGGTTTTTAATCCAAAACTAATTTATAAGACAGTATGTATAGAAATAGTAGCTTGAGTGAATAAGCAAAAGTTTAATTTTTATATACGTCACACTATATTTTAAATAGTTAAAAAAAAAAAAAGGGAGAGCCATTGATGATATGGATGGTGCCATTTCAGTTCAAAGTTGTCATCTTTAGAGTGTTACAGTTTGCTTGTCAAATGGTTTCAGAAGTGTAAAATTGATTTTTTTTATAATGTTGCGTTGTTTGAATCTCAAATACAGCACTATAACATGCTTTAGCTTGGGGGTGGGGTGGGGTGGGGAACTTGCACTTATTCTTTAAGATGTTGACTAATCCAGAAAGCCTGATGCAACATAACCTGGAAAACTGCTTTGGTATATTTGTAGAAATCTGTAGAAACATCATATCCAGCCTCAAAGCATTAATCTCAAAAAAACAACCAAAAAAAAAAAAAAAAGCATCACCTTGAGTGATCCTGTGATGGTTGTTGAATGTGTTCTCATTAGATGCTTTGAAATGAGGCTTAAAATGATTTCTGGGCAATATAGTTTCTTGTTTTGCTTAGAATGTCATAAATATATGTGGACACGTTTAATGCAGGGCTTTGTATCCTCTCCAAAATGTCAACAGTATTTTCAGAATAAAGACTATGAAATATATTGCTGTAGTGAAAAATTCTGGTCCTTTGTCTTTAATGTCTTTTTGAGTGGATAAAGGAAATTCACCCAGTTTGTAGTTTCTATATTTCCGTGAATCTTTTGACCTTGCAATGGGTTGCAATAAAAGAGAAACAAAATACTTTGTCTTTTGTTTTATTTTAGAGATAATAAATGGCCTCCCTGTTGCTGGTTGGGTGTGATGCATGCAGCAGTCCACGTCCTTGTGTGTTTCACTCCTGACTTTATGTTGGTTTGACTAACCAGGATAATGAACAAGACTGGGTTTAGGAGGTTCTAACTTGGCCAGTGATTACTGAGATAGATTAAAACCTTAAGGGTTTAAACAAGTGGTTTGTTTAAAATCCCATTCCCTAAACAGTCATTCATTTGCTTTGCCATTTATTCCATTTTTCAAAAGTAAACAGTTAAATTTATTGAGTAAAAAACATGTACCCAGCACTGGTCATTTAAAGATAAATATGACTTATTCCCATCCTTGTTTCTCATAGCCTAGCAAGGAGACATTCTTGAAAACTAGCAATGGCAGTGGAGTACAATAGGTGTAATAATGGGCATAATTAGAGGGCACACATGAGACAGAGTAGCAGCTTTGGAGAGGAAGAGCTTCACAGAAGAGGTACTTCTAATGAGGGCTGAAGGAATAACAGGAATTTACAAACTTAGTGTGGGGAAGGAAGGGAGAGCAAACCTGGAAGATGGAAAAGTATGTGCAAAGTCATGCAGGAATGAGACAGCAAGGCAAGTTCAGGGTGTAACCAAGTTAAGGTAGGTAGCTGGGTAGGTAGGTAGACGGCCAAGTGAAATAGAAAAGTATGTTCTGTAGGAGCAGAGAGTAGAAAAAGCCTCTACAGAAAAACCAAGCCTAATCATAAACTTTTCATGGACTACTAAAGAGATTGGATTTGTAGGGAAGGAAGATCGTTTCCACTAGAAAAGTCTTGCCCTAAATTCTTTCAACAAGTAGAAATTTAAATGCAGGACTTCTATTTCTGGCAATATGTGAGAATGAGGATCCTGAAAGATTTTCTGCTATGTAACCTCTGAAATTTTTCAGTAAAATAATTTTAAACCCTTTTACCTTTAGAAAAAAATTTAAGTTTATTCATTTATTTTGAGAGAGAGAGAAAACACATGTGCACACAAGTGTGGAAGGGAGGAGGTGGGGAGAGGGACAGACAGAGAGAGATGGGCAGAGAAAGAGGGAGAGAGAATCCCAAGCAGGCTCCACACTGTTAGTGCATAGCCCGACCCATAGCCCAACACCGGGCTAGAACTCACAAACCCTGAGATCATGAGTGGGACGCTTAAACGAACTAAGCCACCCAGACACCCCTTTTTAAACCTTTTTAAATGACTAGCTGTGCCTGCAAGAAAGCAAACCCCTTGTGACCAGGAACAGAGTAGGGACATCCATCAAGAACAGGGGTCAGCAAACTATGGCTCCAGGCCAAACCTGGCCTGATGTATATTTTTGTAAATAAAGTCTTATTGGAACACAACTACACACATTCGTTTATGTCTTATCTGTAGCTGCTCTTGTGCTACAACAGCAGAGTTGAGTGACTGTGGCAAAGACCGTGCAATCTGTGTTCTAGAAAATCCTCTGGGTGATTGTGATGCTTGCTAAAACTTTTATCTCTAGAGAAGCTTGGAAACTTGCAAAATCTGGGAGACTATACTGATCATTGCAGCCTAGAGAATGTGTATAAAACTTTGGGCCTGTGGATAATTGGGACACAAATCAAGAGTTCACCTCACATAAAACCAGGATCCCTGAAAGGCAACATCCTTTTACAAATAGTGAACTAAAATAAAACAAAACAAAAACTGAAGATGCAAATAGTCATTTTCAGCCTTGGCTAGTCTCGAGTTGTTTTGTTTTTTTTAAGGTTTTCTTGAAAATTAATAGCCACTGGCTACCATTCACATGGTTTAGTACCTGAATCTACAGTACTTGCATAGTTTGTGTTGCTTATTTGTATTTTAAAAGGATTCATTACAGGAATGCTCATTGCCTGACAAAAGCAAACAAAAATCATCCTTTGAGAAAGGTACCCTTAATCCAGTCCTTAAAAGACCCCCCCCCAGTAGAGTGGCAACTAATTTAAACTCACAATCTAAAATCACAGAGAAGTTTTAAAGATTTTTTTTTTTTTTAAAAAGCGGGGGGCGCCTGGGTGGCTCGGTGGATTAAGCATCCAACTTCAGCTCAGGTCATGATCTCACTGCTTGTGAGTTCGAGCCCTGCATCAGGCTCTGTGCTGACAGCTCAGATCCTGGAGCCTCTTCAGATTCTGTGTCTTTCTCTCGCTCTCTGCCCCTCGCCCGCTCACACACACACACACACACACAC